CGCGGGGCGCGCGGCCCAGGTCTCACGGGTCCTCGGGGTCGAGGCGGCTGGGACGCCGAGAGGCTGAGCCCTCCCAAGCGCTGAAGCCCCGAGCCTGCACCTTAGGGACAAAGGCCAGCCTCCCGGGAGGCGGCAGGGGCACCTCCTAGATTGTCTGCGCCGGCGGATGGCGGGGATCTGACTGCGCCTGGGGTGGGACTGACATTGGCCGGAGGAAACGCTGAACGTGCTCTCCCTGTCGTTCCTAATAGGTGGCCTCTTCATCCGAAACACAGATCAGGAATACACTGCTTTTCGGTTAGCGATTTTTCTTCATAACACCAGCCCCAATGCGTCGGAAGCGCCTTTCAATTTGGTACCTCATGTGGACAACATTGAGACGGCCAACAGTTTTGCTGTAACAAATGCTTGTAAGTAAAACATAAACTGTGGATAAATTACAAGAGAATTAAAATGAGGCACTAGGGTGCCTTTCCTCTTTATTATTAGTATTTCATATTTTGGAAAGAAATTCAAGCTTCCCACATATAGGCTGGTTTCAGAGCAAATCAGTTAAAAACAAGATTTAGTCCTGAGATATTCAGATGGCCTTCCTCCCTCCCTTCTTTCCTTCCTTCCTCCCTCCCTTCTTTCCTTCCTTCCTCCCTCCCTTCTTTCCTTCCTTCCTTCCTCCCCTTTCCTCTTTTTGTTTCTTGTCTGGATAATTCGAGTTGATTTCCTCTTTAACATGTCAGTGTTATTTCTATCGCCTGAATGTCAAGCCAGTGAAAATCGTCCTCAGTGTAGTGTGGATTCTGCTCCTTTGGTTTTCTTGTTTGCTTTTCTCTGGAGTAAGCCTGTGCCTGGCTGTGGAAGTAGACACATGCTCGCTTACCCGATGGAAGCAATGGAAGGCTTGCTGAGGGTGGGAGAGAGGGAAGCCTGGCCTGCAGGATCTGTATTCTAGGCAGGTGGCTGACGCTGCACTCGACCTGGTGATGTCACTTAAGGCTGCCCCGCTCTTATGTTCTGGGTTGTAAATGTCTCTTACTATGTCACGTAATGCATGTATCCTGTGGATATAACTCCGTAAATCCTTACCTTGGTGCCAAATAGTGTTAGCCTCCAACCCACATGAATTCGCAAATCAACGCAGCTGGACCACACAATGAAACTTCAACGGGTGACCTCACCCCATGCTCTAATGAAACAGCTGTACAGTGCTCCCCTACCAAAATACTGTATAACTTAATGCAAATAGAAATACAATCAACTGTGGGTTAATTGAACACCCTCTAAAATATGATCAGTCCATAGAGCATTTATGTTGCATTTTCACTTTTGAAGGAAATACATGTTTCAAATATCTCCTCGGCTTCACAAGCTAATTTACTACTGCTCAAAATGCATTTATTAAGTTAATGGTTATAGATTATGTAAGACATTTGGGAATAGTTTCTACATGAATTTTGCACAAGAGGAATAAAATGCTCAGTCTGATTGTAGAGTATTTTTATTATAGTAAGTTCAGTATAATTTAATTTTAAAAGCTCTCTCTGTACAAAAAAGTGTACTGACTAATTGAAATTGAAAACAGAGTTTTTAAATGTTTGGAGGATTTCTGGTTCATTAATTTATTTTAAATCATATCTATTTGCCATTAATGCATCTAACTTATGATCAATTTTCTTTTTTAACTTTTGGCATCTAGCTGTTACTTTATTTTAGAAGTTGGTTTCATAAGGAGGTCAAAGCACTTGGCATTTTTGTAAACTGACACATATATTATTTTGCAGGAATGCTATAGTTCCTATGAACGCTAGTTAATTAAAAATATCATTTGGTCTTTAGTGATATAATCAATATTACATTATAACAGGAGGGAGTTATTTTCAAGCATAAATGCACATAAATTAGATCTAGGTTTGTGGATACTTATTTTTGCAACTAGTATAACTTACTAGTTTTGTGTTCCAAGTTTTGAAAGGATGTCAACCTTTCAAGTAGTTCTAGGTATAAAGCATTCTCCTTTGTATATAAATATTAAATGTTTATTTAAACATTTTTCTTATGTTTCTCCTGAAATTCTATGAACAAAAAATTACTAACTGTAAAAATAATTTATGGGCCAAATATATGTGAAGGTACTTTGTCAACAGTAAATTACTAATTAAATATCAATTTTTGTTACTAAATTTTGAAAGACTTTCTTAAAAGTGTCAGATATGTTCATTTTATTTTGTTTCGCCTTTACAAATTTAGCTTTTAAATATTGTAGGGTTTGCATTATGACTTTCAGCTATATAAATAATAAAGAACTAGTCTCTTCTTCCTCATCACTTATTAATCTCATTCAGGATAATTTTCATTAATACTATTCTATTTCTGTAATGAAAATAATATATAAAATGAAATCTTACTAATAAAGTACCTATACACATGAGAAATTGTTAGGAAGCAGCACACAGAATGAAAAAGTTATAAAATATAGATAATATGCTATTTTTTCACATTTAAGATTGAGAAAATTGAAACTAAGTAAACTTTAAATGTGCTTATTTTCAATCCAAGTGTAACACAATGTTAGTGATAGCATATTTTTCCATAATTAATTGATTTTGTGTACATATTTAAAATACATATATATATTTAAAAACATAAATTTTAAACATAGACAAAAAACATTTTCTAGTGAAGAAAAGGGATTTGGGGGGAAAAATGAGCATGCTGAATGTCCATAAGGCAAACCTCAGCTGAATTTGGGGAAAATCAATTATCAGACAGCATGGATCAGGTGACTGTGTTTGTTGAATGGACTGACCAAGAGCATATACAGCGTGATTTTCCAGTCTAATTAATGGTGAAACATAAGCAGTAAGTATGAGGCGACCTTATATATCAAGCTTTATTCCTTTGGGTACAAAGGGCTAAAAATAATATTCTGGGAGATTAACATGGAAATTACTCCTCACAGTGATGCAAACTGGATTTTAATTTTTTTTAATGTTAGGTTAAATATAAAGATATAATATGTGACTGGCTAGGTTTTTTTGAATTGTGGTTTTCCTGCAGTGGATTCTTGTAAAACTGCAGAATTAGTCTGTCTTTGAGTAAAGACCATTAAAGAGGATGAGTTTATTTTATGGAATTATAATCAAACCCTTAAAACAGATTAAAGAATTAAAATTATTGGTCTTTTATTGGACAGATATAATTTAATGCCGGCTCTTCTGCCTTAAAATTAATTTAGCTCTTTAAGATTACTTTGTACCATTCAGACATTCTCTGTAAAGAGTTTACATACTGTTCAAGTTTAAACCCACTTAACTCAAATTTACCACTTTTGGTATAAATTCCAAGTTTTTGAAGGAAGAAAAATAATTTTAGTTTATAGTTTTTGTTGTTTTTTTTTAACAATATTTGTGTAAGATTCGATTAAAATATTGTTTTCCTTTTTTAACTAGTCACATTTTTGGAAAGTCACACTTTGTTCAATGTAAAACTCAAATGATAGGAAATACAGATAATATAAAATTATGACCTATTTTAATAACAAAAAAGTAGGTGTCATATATAGCCCAATTGTTAAAATTACAAAATGTAATTAAAGGCATACATTTCTTTGCTGTCTTCTATCCAAAGTATGGGGAATAGAAAAGTGGATATTTCAAAAATAAATTCAATATGGTCAATGTTCTTTAATAAAATATACACTTGACCCAAAATATCTATCTTTGTAAGCAGACATGCTAGTTCAGTTGGATATGTCCCTTATGAAATATTTGAGACAGCCTGAAAGCAGGCCGTTTTCTTATATTTTTCCAGTAGTTAATGAATACAGACCTTTTTTGGAGGAGGATATATATTAAATTTGACTAGAAGTAAAAACCAAAGTACTAAAGTAGTCTATCACCAAGTTTTCTAAAGGATAAAAATATTAGAGATTTTGAAATTATTAGTTTAATACAGTTACATTAGAAATCTGTAAAAGAATCAGCCCTTTAAAAAGGCAGTGGCTTTACAATATAAATTACAAATATTCAGTTTCTGAAAGGACTCTTCCAAATTTCAAAGGAGAAATAGGAAATAATAACAAAACAGGTCAATTGCTCATGTATTGTCACTTTGGTGAAATAATAAAAGAACTTTATGGAATGTTTTCAGTATTATTAACTTGAATAGAAAGGACTAAATGATTAATAACTTTGTGTGGGAGGGTTAATGATGTATTTTTCTTTCCTTTTCTGTAAATAATGTGTCGATTCCGTGGTTTAAAAGATCATGGGTTGAAAAGTTGTCACAGTCACAAATAGACTGGAGACTGGATATTATACCCTCCTAATGATGAAAAGTTGTTCTTTTTAAAGTTAAATATTAGTTCTGTTTGTGGTCGGTTTACTTGTCAGCTCTAAGTATCCAAGAGGACTGCTACTTGTAAAAGTAGGTTGGTTGTAAAATAGACTTGTTTAGTTAATCTAAATACATTGAAAATGTCACACTGTATTTGTAGGCCCTGCAGACTTTCCCACTTACATACTAGGTACTTAACAAAACCTCCTTGAATATAACGGTACTAAATACTAATATAACCTTTTGGCTTTGATTCAAAAACTTTTAAACATTGTACATATTTCTCTTCAGAGATATGAAGCCATATAAAGACATCCTAAGAGTTTACCTGGCTGATACAATAATCTTAACATGCTAAAAATAAAATTCTGATGGCTTCACCTACAAAGTTGTTAGTAGAGATATGTTAGAATTAAATACTCTTTGGCTTTTTATTATTTTTAGGAAAATAATCGATGTGGCTCTTCTGTGACTCTCATTAGGTTTCCTTATTTTGAATTGATAGCAAGAGTTTGTTGATTTGAAATAATTCTTTAGCTTTATAATATTCTTTCTCTGTCCTCTTAATTTTCCATTGTGAGATTGATGACGAAGATGAGTCATATACCTATGGTTTGTTCCTTTCTAAAATGGTAGAATGATGTATAATTTGCGTTGATATATTTCAGTATTGTCACAGGATTAAATCTTCATAAGACTATTAGGAAAACTCCTTAAATATTTTTCTTTAATCTGGATTTTTCCAAGTGATGTTCATTTCCCAAAGAGGAAAGTTTTTACTTTCTGGTATTTGGAAAAAATGTATATATCTTATTTATAGAATCTTACTGTTGTTCAGGAGTTTAAAATGAAGGATAAATACACCTTACCTTTTATGAGAAAATATAGTTTTTAAATGCTTTCATATACATGATGTTATTTCACCTCAAACTAGTCTTGCAGTAGGACAATCTGAGCAGAGAGTCATTATTTTATAGTGCAGCCAGCTTTGGTTCAGAGGAGTCATTTAACATGCCCAGGACTCTATGGCTAATAAGATGCAGAATTAGAGTTCGAACCCAGATCTTCTATCTACTGTCCT